CTAGTAGCAGTACGAGTTATTGTAACTGACTGTAAAAAGTCAGCACAACGAAAATAAACTCAACCTAAACTTGGTTTATATCTGGCCCAGATAGACTGCAGGTCATAACTTCTTACCTGAAGTTCAGTTCACCTGACACTCGGACCAGCGGCTGCCTCGGGTCTCTGCTCCTCCTGCCTCCCCTCTCCCTGATCCACCTGCCGGCCTCCACCACTTGCTAATGTTACTGAATCTGTGCAAGCTCCGCCATAGCCACCACCAAATAACTTTAGTTATTTTTACACACCGGCCAGCATCTGGCCAATCCACCACCTTTCATTGTTTATACCGTTACAAAAAAAAAAGAAAGAAAATTAATTAGCAAATGCCCGGTATGCCCGATGGCCAGTCCAGCTATGGTCATGCCATCAGTTAACCCACAGTTGGCACGCGTGCCTAGGGTTGCCGACCCCTGGTTTATAGTATGTGGAAAAAACAGCAATAGTACTGGCAACAGACAGGGAATGGAGTTACAGTTAATGTCTATAATAAGTATCAACATATGTTAAATATAAAAATCATAAGAATGATAACTGCAGGTTACAAGTGAACATGATAGATGCTTGGCTACAAGATGAACAGCCACAAGGAGCATTGCCCTCCATGGAGGAGAAGACTAGAAGCTAAAATCAAGGTAGCACAGAGGCAAGTTAACCATTAATAGTTCAGAAATGGTTCCAAAAATAAGTAAGTAAGTAAAGTTTATTTATATAGCACCTGTCACAGACATATGTCACAAAGTGCTTTACAAGGTAAAAACATAATACAGTCATAAAATACATCACAAAAACCCTGGTCTAATTAAAAGGTTTTTGAAATAAAAATGTCTTTAGCTGCTTTTTGAAGGTCTCCACTGAGTCCAAGCCCCGTAGTAATAGGGGAAGTGCATTCCACAGTCTGGGTGCAACAGTTTGGAAAGATCGGTCCCCTCGGTTTTTAAAATGAGTGTGGGGGACCACTAAAAGGTTTTGGTTTGATGACCTCAGGTTACGAGTGGAGGTATGTGTATGAATCAGATCAGCAATGTAGGGAGGTCTGTCTCTGTAATGCTCTGAAAGTTAAAACTAGAATTTTAAAATGGAACCTGAATCTGATTGGTAGCCAGTGCAGCGACTTTAAAAAAGGGGTCATATGAGCACCCTTGTTCGAGCGGGTCAGTAGCCTCGATGCAGTTTTGAACAACCTGTAGGCGGGCTAGCCCTTTCATGTTTAGACAAGTAAACAGGCTGTTACAGTAGTCAAGTCTTGTAGAGATAAAAGCATGTATTATCATCTCGAGTTCACTTGTTGACACGATGGATGTTTAGAAATGTTCCTCAAGTGAAAAAAGCAGGTTCCTACTATCTGATTTAAATGTCCCTCCAAAGAAAAAGCTTCATCAAAAATACAACCAGGTTTCTAAGGTTATGTTTCTGTGAGGAACCAAAGTCACCCAGTCGCCGTTTAATATCGGGTATTTCACTGCCTGGTGCAATAATCAAAGTTTCTGTTTTGACCGGGTTTAGCTGTAAGCAATGGCTTCATTTTGTCCACCAGGGCTGCTATTTCATCATATGTTACAGTTGTAAAAGTCGACCAGGAGTACAAAGGGAGTGCCTGACTCGGAGAACAGGAAAGCCTTGGGGAGATTTTAGCATTGATGTCATTAATCTTATCAACAAAAAATCGGAGGAGTTTATTACTATCTACTTTAGAGAGTACATCTAAAGGTATCACATCTGGGGAGACAATTGCACTAATTTTGTCAAAAAGAAACTTGGGATTTCTCTTTATTTTTGTTATGAGTCTAGAAAAGCATTCTGATCTAACAGTTTTCACCTTGTCACTTAAGGAGAGCATGAGATCTCGAAGATGGAGCCTGTGTAGTCAAGTTTGGTTTTCTTCCCTAGTCGTTCTATTTTGCGGCATATTCTCCTTAAGTTTAAGATAGACTCATTTATCCAAGGGCATGCCTTCTTTTGTAAAGCCGAGCTTGTTTTAATAGGTGCCACTTGATCCAAAATGGATGTGCATTCCCTATTAAAAGACTGAATAAGAACATTTACATAGTTTCCGGTAAAAAGTAGAGACCTGTCAAACATAATGGAGAACCTCTCAGCAGTAGTCTCAGTTATTATGCGTCTATGAGTTTTTAACTTCACAGGCGTTTGTTTAGAGCTAAAATTGAGTTCAACAAAGATACAGTTATGATCACTCAAATGTACATCCTCAGCAAACACATTGCCAATGTTGAGGCCCAAGGAAAAAACAAGGTCCAAGGTATGGCCTTTTACATGGGTTGGACCGGAGACATGTTGGACAAAGTTAAAAGACTCAGATATAGATAGAAGTTCAGCTGCAGAGTTAGATGAGGCATCATCAATATGAATGTTAAAATCCCCAAGAATTAAAACTTTCTCCAGCTTGATAATAGAAGATAAGAAGTCCATAAAATCCTTTAAGAACTCAGTAGCAGGGCCAGGAGGGCGATAGACTAAAACACAATAAAAGATGTTCGTAGAGCCCACCTTAATTGTTTGCGACTCAAAAGAAGAATAGTTTTCAGTTTGCATACCTCTGCAGGTGAAACTGTCCTTAAAGACAACAGCAAGTCCTCCACCACAGCGACCTAAACGGGGGGCGCCCAAGTAAGAGCAGTCTGCATGACACTGTTCGTTTAGGTGAATAAATTCGCCATCCCTCTGCCATGTTTCGGTGAGAAACAGAAAGTCCAGGCTTTTCCTTGTGAAGAGCTCATTCAGAGAGAAGGATTTGTTTGCGATGGAGCGGGCGTTCAAGAGCGCGATCCGATTAAAAGCTGGCAGCACAGGTTTCCCATCAGCTTGTCGGAGTGGAATTGACAGCAAACACCGTGTCCGCACGCGAGGTCTCCAGCAGCGCCACGGAACCGGCGGGACCAACCACCGGTTGTACGATGCAGGCTGTGAGGGCGCAGCGGTGGGGAAATAATCGGCAAAATCCCAATGGGCAGGATCCACGCTGTAGTGGCTGCAAGTACGTGTTTCCAATCAAATCGGGAAGGGTAACTGGCAGCAGAAACCGGGGACACCTCCAGACGAGTCGGGAAATCTCCGATCTGTAGGCTCGTCTGATGTGTACCTGGATACCGGCCCTACAGCCTCTTTTCCTCGATTTCTTCTTGGAATTGCTTAGGGCACGTTTCGAGTCTCTGTGTAGACTGCTGCCCTCTGTAACCCAGGCCTGGATAAATGTTAGTTTGACTTAGTAAAAGATATACCTGCAGTGAGTATCCACACAGCAGCAGAAAGGTCAAAGTGGATGTCAGTCGTTTAAAGGATGCAACATAAGCACCAGAAAGCACAATATGAAACCAAAGTACATGATGGCAAAGGTTTCTGTTGAATGTCAATAAAGTAATAGTCATAGTTGATTTTTTTCTGTATTAAAACAAAGTGAAAGAGTCTGTTCACATGTATGAATAAACCTTTAATAATTAACTGATAGCAAACCAAGTTAAAGGATCACTTACTTTTGTGGCCCTGACTCCGTTAGCGTGTTATTCTGGTCCTGAATGCTGCTGTAACAACAAGATATTATATTGCAAGGTTATATCATCTGGCAGAAAGAAAAAATATTTTGTTACTTGTTCAGCTTTTGCAAAATCCCCGATATGTTTTCATCAACTTTTTTTTTTCTTTTGGTCTGTCATAACAGTCAACTCAATGTTTCACTGAGTCACCAAACAAAAGCAAAAGTCTTTATTTGTCAATGCAATCCAAAGCATACTACGCACCGAGACTTTCTGACCTGCAAACAATCTGGTTAAGTGCGTGAGTGCGTGCGTGCGTGCGTGTGTGTCTGTGTGTGTCTGTGCGCTTTGGAAGGGGAGGGATTGCATGCGTGGCTCTGTGGGTCTCTGAAATTTCCCTACATCGTCTGAGCAGGAGGAGCTTGTCTCGTTAGGCATAAAAGCTCACAGCAGCTGCAGTTACTTTCAAAGCAGTGACTGTGACGTAGAATCTGAAAGATGTTTTATGTTCTTTATAGATATATATCATGTGGATAGTTTGTTTGGCCACAAAAATACTTTTTACAGACAAGCAAAGAAAGAAAAAGAAAGGTTGTTGTGGAAATTTTAACAATAACAGTGAGCTCTCAAACAAAGAGCATTCCACAGCACATCACATATCCCCGTGCCTTCAGTCCAGCTCATCCTTGACCCCCGCCCACTCTAAGAAAAGTTATGACCACCGTCACCTCCAGGATGTCTGCAGATATTCAAGTCTACAATGGGTCCACCGTGAAGGTGCAATAAAACTTGGGGCCTACCTGTGATGATATTCTACATGCATGCATACTATACTAACGTGAGGAAGTGAAATTACTATTACTAATGTGAAATGGTTACAGTATGTGATTAATACATCAGAAAAGAAATCTGCCACGACACGGTCTACTTAATGCTCATCACACGTGTTTATTGATGATAATTGCCGCTAAAGCTCTGATGGCTCCAAATTCAGTAAATGACTAAATCTGAACACAACATCACCGTTTTACACTTTTTATGGCCATCAGTTTTGGTTGGTAACAAAATAAAAACTAAATTTTCAAAAACATAACATTCTAGTGAGCTTTTAGTGTTGTTGCACAACTGACCTGACCATGAAAATAAAAGTAAAAGGATCATTGAAAGTATGAAAGACTGCACAATATTTCAGTCTACAAAGTCCCTGTTTAGAGAAGTTGACCCAGAAGCCAAGAATGCTGCTGTCCTAGCGCTAAAAACAGCACAGCTTTCTGTGTGTGTGTGTGTGTGCGCGCGCACATGTGTGCGTGGCTGTGTGCTTTAGAAGGGGAGGGATGGCATGTGTGGCTCTGTGGGTCTCTCTGAAATTTCCCTACATCTTTAAAACAGATTTAGGAAGTTTTTCCTCATTTCAGCTATCCTCTTCATCTCCACAGATCAACAGAATGCCTTACATTTGTTCCCCACACAGCCACACTACCAGAAGGTGGGAACCAGTGACTGGCTGAAGAAGAACACGTTTGAGAAGCTGCTGAACAGCACTGAAGACGAGCTTCAAGAACTTCAGGGTTCGACTCAATCCTGTCATCAGGTAGAAACATGACCGCGTGAAACTTTGCTGTGAAGCCATTATTACCAACTTTTAAATCAATGGACAAAAAAGGTTTTTTTGTTACTTACATTCAGGAGCTGATTGGTCAGCTTCAGCAGGAAATGACAGTAGAATATGTCCGGAGGCTCCTGAAAGGAGAGGTCAAACTGAAGGACAAGGATCGTCAGCTGAAGGCTTACGTGACTGTGCAAGAAAATGCAGAGAGACTGCATGAGCTGTTTGCCAGAATGGTGAGACTTACCTTCATTCCACACTTTAGCTGTGACACAAATAAAATCAATCAAGCACAAACACTGATTGTTTGACAGGGTGAAACAACCTTAGTCACAAATTCAGCTAACAATAATAAAAGAACCATTGACAGGCTATATTAAAGTTTTGAAATTTATCCTCTTACTTTGGTTTTACTTTCAAAGTGAAGTGAAGAAAAAGAAAAATCAGTAAGAAATAGAAAAAAGACATTTGTCAATAGATATTGGATCTGGAATGGTGAGAGGACAAGGAGTTACAATTATGAGACAGGTTTTATGATATTATTAAATAGAACAAGATCCTTTGCCACTTGCAGTGCAAGATTTTTGGTAAGAATTAGAGCAAAATTCCAGTTTGTTTAACTGAAATAATTTAGATTCACATTTACTGCCCAGCTAGCTGGACGTTCCAGTGCAATAGCTCCTGAAGGAAAAGCATCATTATTTCCAAAAACAGCAGCTATGCTGATTACAGTTTGGGGAAACTTGCAGACTAAACTGACGTCACTGATTTGTCTTCACAGGGATCCAAACAAGACTGGTTAAAGGAAATCCTGACCAAGATTGCAGAAGTGCTAAAACTCCAAGATATTCCTGCCATACAGATGCAAATCGTTTCACTGGGATCTGCTTATCCCGACCTCAGGTAACTTTTGAATTGACTCAGACATTATTTACTTTAATACAGAAACATACAGAGTATAACTCACACAAATGTAATGTGCTCTCTTTTTTTGGGCCTGATGTATCATAAACAACTGAAGAAGTGTATAAAGAACTATATCATGATAAGAGGTTTGTGAGACATTAGGTCAGGATAGGCAATCGTGCTTTTCAGAGAGAGCTTTTAGAAAACAGGAAGCAGACTGAGTGAAACATCTTAATTGGTATCAGATATATCTTGTGAGCAGGATGAGCTACATTCATGGGAACTAGCATGAGCTAAAAGTAGATGTGCTTCCTTTCTGTTTTACATTACCAGTCTCACTGATAGTGCACTGAAACAGAAAGCTAAATAAAACATGCAGGCATGAGAGAAGCAGCAGCAGCTGTGAGTAGATGAAGTCAATAATGCTGTTAATTAGAGTTAAATGAAAGATTTCTTCCACCGGAAAACCAAACTGTCTAGTTTTGGTTTTATTTCTAACCTTAAAGAAAAAGGAAGAAGGGAACCAGGAGACATAAACACTGCTCTTGATAGCACTCATATATGTTTATGCTGAATAAGAGTTTTATGGAAGAGTTATTTGGTAAAAATAGTTCATATTCGGAGAGTCACATGCATTTGAAGCACGGATCCATTTCAGTAAGAGCTCCACCTATTGTCAGATTTCCAACAGAGGTGGACTGAGACCTTTTCCATCTCCCCTCTTCTCAGCAATTCAAAGAGGTGTGGTGATGTGCTAATGACAGCTGCTAGAGTTTGCAGGAAGGATGTGTGTCAGGGGCAGAAAACTGGCTACACACAGAAAAAGACATAACATGTCAATGAAACACAAGTTTAGACAGGATCAGTGAAGTTATAACTTCTGCTGTTATTC